ACTGTGTGTGCATATGCATTTCAGTTCAGGTGTCACAGTCAACTCTTGAACCAAAGAAGTTAAAGCACAGAGGTAGCCATGATTGTTGGAGATTTCTCTGTATTTTTTCTGTGCTTTGTAGAGACCCTACGATTTATGATACCCTGTGCATTTAATGTATGCTTACAAGCAGAATAGATCCTTTTGCAGCTACATCATCATACTCTAAAGACAGATTTAATTACAAGGCTAGACATTACCTTTGTAGGAAGACAGGCATATCAGCTCTTGGAGTTGTAGACAGAGTGATTAGATTTCTTTCTAAGTACGTCAAACAATGTGATAAAGAAGGACTCTGACCCTCCACATTCTGTTCAAAACATTTAAAGTACTTTCTAAGCTAAACATAAATGTTTCTACTCTTCCCAGATTTCCCCTAGAATCCTGGATGGAGTAATGCAAATTCACTTTTGTAGATACTATTATATGTTTAAAGCTCTCAATACCCAAGAAAATCTTGAATAGCAGTAAAAATAGCACTAAAGTGGAGCAGTTCAATGAAGCACCAAGGTAGAGGTGAGCAGGGCAATCTCAGACACGCATAAGTTGTAAAAGCCATGAGCTTCTTTATCTTCCTTAAAGACATCTCCCTTAAATTTAAATAGCTGCTGTCATTGTCACTGACTACCTGACTATGTATTTATCTGCCCAGAAGCAGAGTGCATGGCCTTTGGCCCTGCTATTCATAGTGTTACTGTCTCTGCCTAACAATGCTGTGAACAGAGCTGGGCTTCTGTTAGCATCTTTTGTTTGATGTGAATCACTGAAGCTTTGATGTTGTTTGTGAGAAAAATAATGATTAAAAAGAATAAGACCTTCACTCTCCCACTCTCTTTGCTCCCCACTGAGAAATCTAATCTGAGTTGGGAAGAATCTGTGACTGATCCTGTTTTAGGTATACAAAAACTAGAGAGTCCAGGAGAGAAATCTGTTAGTGTTGAAACACTTAGCATTTCTTCACTGGAAGGTCAGAGAGGTAACGTGTCTTAATGATCAAAATTCTGTTTCCTGTTATGTGAATGTGTGTGTCCAAATAAGTACAGAATACTTGCTCTGTGTGGTGAATGCAGCTGTCAGTGTAGCCATAGTGCTTTATTTTCAGTGGGATGTCTTAGTTTTCTGCTTTAAGTTGCATGTGCTTCCCCTTTATAGAATATTCTAACAAAAAGGGGATGATTACTTCATACTGAAGCTACATTAGTAGATTTGAAATGCTCTACAGTTCCAAAACCTGCATTTTTCCTTCTAAATTATTATTCTAATAAGCTTGTTTCTCATCTCTACTGATGAACGCTTTTCTTTCTGGCATTTTTGAATGAAGAGTAAATGTGATGCAGTAAAGTGTAACTAGAGCCTCTAAAATCAGAGCTTCAGAGTAAATGGATGGCTGTTCTGCTACTCAAGGCAAAAACTCCACTGTCACATAAAAATACTCTGATCAGTGATCACTACAGTAACAAAAAAGTAAATTCAATAAAATTATAATGTCCCAAGTGTAATAAAAAGCAATGAACAAAAAATTGGGAAGCTTTTATCTTCACAAACCTATGATCCACAGTGTGAAGGAAACAGATTTGATTACTGAGGTGTTTTGAAATTGGAGGTGGCTTGATTCCCACACAGAGCAGCAGATGTGGAAGAGCAAGGGAGCAGAGCCATGGCTTACCTTGTGCCAAGAGCAGTCAGGCTTGCAGAGCAAACACAGAAGGGTTTGGAATTTAGACTCTTGGATATGGGAAATTCAGTTGTGCATAATTTCTGATATTTATTTATTTATATCCCCAGTTATCATTATATATCTACACTCAGCTTTAAGCTCCACATTAGCTTGTGATGTGGCACATTTTGGATATATTTGACCTTCTTTCTTCTGGGGCATTCCACGGGGCAGGCAAGCAGGATTGCTAATGGAAATTGCACAGGTCTTGATCATTTGCTAGTCACTTGTAAACCTTCTCACAAAAAGGGGCCAAACTCAGAAAACAGTTATAGCTAGGTAAGCAGAGAGATGTGATACACATCCCTCAATAAAGGTGACTTCATAATCCTTTACTTGGGAGAAGAACTGCATCTCAAAGTGGCTTGTCTTGAGCTCCCTTAAGGAAATGTAGAGAGCAGAGCAGATGCACAAGGAGGAAATAGTGCCAAATCTCCCCTCAAGACTGATCAAGTCCCAGAGAATGTTTCAGAACTGAGAAAAAATATAAGACTAGGAAGGCCATAACTCTCTAAAATGCTCTGCAAAGTTTATATACTGTTTAAAGTATAAAACATTCCTCTCTGGTATGTAGCCTAGCTCATAAGCTTGGACTGTGGAGAAGATATGGTTTGTTATAGTACTGTTGGTGGCACTGGGGTGGTGTCAGACCAGTCCTGGAACTTTTGGCTATGAAGTTCCTTCTGTATTGCATATTTCAGAGATCTGCAGCTCCCAAGAATCACCTACTCTTGGGAACTAATTTCAGCAAAGAAAATTTCAGGGGCCTCTGCTGATCTGCTGTCTGACTTTAAAGGGAGTTGCCAGCACTCAGTTTGCTGGAACCATCTCTTCCGTATGGTTGTCAAAAAGGACAGATCGCAGGCTTAGATCTTGCTGTGGCAACTGTGTTGATATGGACACACGTGTTCCCCACAGAGTTCCCTTCAGGGCCCTGGATGCTGGGATCTGCCCACACGGATTCAGGACTTCTAATCACTAGCATGGACAAAACTACATGCAAAAGCCTTGATATTGTTCTCTATGGTTTAATGTAATTTTGGTATCAAAACGAGTGTCAAATGTTTATTTCAAACATACGGTTTTTATAAGCAATATGCTAGGGAGCTACACAAGTACCACTAAGATTTTACTAATTTGTCAGCTGCCACTCCGCCTCTTTATGTTGCATTTGTAATGATGTAACCCATTCTCTCCCCACATGTGGTTCCTACAATGTATTACAATGGCTACAATTTTAAAGAATGTATTTGGAAAGAAGAGAAATCTAGGACTTGGCCATAGTTGTAGCGTTTATCTAGCCCTAAATGGAGGATTTACAATGCCTGAATACACTGCTGATGTGATATGTGTATTGAGGTTTGATTAAGCTGGATATGAAAATTAAAACTTGCCTCCACATTGAAGAGAGAATCTCCCGCAGTGTGATACTATGACATCAAGTTTTCTGTTTACCCCTAAGGCTGGAGCTGCAATGACTTCCAGGTTTGATGGTGTCTCTTTTTTAAGTTGTTGAGCAGCAGGCTAATAGCTGCACAGCATGATGCAAAGACAGCAGAAAGCAGGGAAATCAGATGTGAATATATTCCCCAGAGATCTCCTGCTAAGATGGAGCTAACTAACCAGAGCTTTAGTGCTCAGATGTAGCCTTCTCATGCAGAGGATGGGCTGATTATCAGCTCTTCCTGCTTTATTGTACATTTTTGGATTACAGATGTTATTACAAATCATGAATTCTGGTATAATATGCATCGTAGTGTAATATGAACTATTATATTGAAAGGAACATTATTTTTAAAGAGGTTTTGTCCAATGTCAGCCCCCCCATACCCCCTGCCACATTGTCCAAAATGATCTTGGTATTTTAAAAAATATAGATTTATATTCTTCTTCCGTGCTTGTGTTGCCTTAATTTTTTGAAAGCTGTAGATTAAGACAAAGAATGACCTAAGAAAGGGACAGGATCTACTGGCAAAGCAGTAGCCCACCTTGCTGTTTACACAAGTACATGCTGTCCATGTTACACAACAGGAGTTGCCTTTGAGACTGGGCAGTCACTTAATTGTTGCCACAGTGGCAGCCTGATATACCACAAGGTATAGAGAGCAGGGGAAACATATCATCCTTATTACCTTGTATGCTATTGATGACATACCTGGTCTATAAAATGAAAAGAAACTGCTAATCCATTTTTGTTTGTGTGTAGGGAAGCTATATTCACACACAAGTTCATCAGTTTAATGTCAGCATGGGAGCTGGTACCTGCTTCCCAGCTCTTGGCTTTGTATCATCACTGACCCATCCATCGCTTGGAGACGTGAGGCAGTTTAGGGTGCAGCGGTAACAGGGAGAACTTGTTGCGGTTCCCCAAAAATGCCTAGTGAGAACATCCCCATGTTTTCCCAGATATCAATGGCCAATCTGGCAGTCTTTATTGGTGTAATGTGCCAATAGCACTGTGTGGTTTCAGTGAGGAGGAGGAAGACTGGCAGACACAGTTATTGATGGTTGATTTTCTATAGTGTTATTTTCAATTTATCATCCTGCTCACATAGCTCTGCTTTCTATACAGATAAGAGAGAAAAAGTTAAAATGGTGAACCTTATGTTGCACAAGTCAAATTCTGAGGCTGGTTTAATCCAAAAAGAGAAGCATTATTCTGATCATCTACAGCCTTAATAAAGTAGTACTTGAGAGCTTATACTCCTTATATCAAGCACTCACGCAGTCTATGTAGAAGCACGATTAAAAGAGTAAATTCCCAGGTTAAACAGCACACAGGTTAAACCACAGATCGTTTGTCACTAACCTTAAAGGCTTGGCCTAGAGAACACCTTAATAGTTTGGAAAGGAGCCAGAAGGGAATGCAAAGACTCAGCCTTGAACTTCCCTTTGGGTCACACATACTTGGTCAGGTTTGACAGCAGCACCTAACGAGACTATCCCTCTGGCACCTTAGCAGAGCACTCTGCAGCTTGCCATGATGAGAATTAGTTTGTTTCAAACACAATAAAATAAACAGTTGCCCTATCAGCTTTTATAACTTAGAGGGGAATTATGTTTACAGATATGACCACCTTCAGGGAATCTGAAGATTTCTGCTTAGAATTCAGACTTTTGGTAAAGCCAAAGAAAGAGAAGTGTTCAAGTAGCCTTCAAGGCTGCACTGTAAGCTAACTCTTTTTCCCTAGAGAGGTAAAAACAATCTTCTCTGGACTCTACAGGAGCAGTAAGTAAAAATTACCTCATACAATGGCATGCAGATGCTATCAATCCACTCGAGCTGCAACCTGGGTAGTTCATCTTTCCTGTTCCGATCAAAAATGGCCTGAATTGAGAAGAGAACAAAACTGTCATGTTTTATGACACTGGAGTATTTTACAGACACATCATCCAGCACTTTGGAGTTATGATCAAATTCTCACGACCAGAACACTTTGTAAACCGTAATCAATCTTTGCAGCAGTCTTCTTACTGCTTTGTCTAGCATGAAAAAGAAACTGTTTATTTTCGATGATGTCTTGCAATTTGTAGGCTGAATATATTTGAATTTTATAATTCTGTGATGTAAAATAAATGCTCCACAATTGGAGTTGAGCTTGTATGAAACCTCCTGCAGAAATGTAAAGGAGATACCTTTGAGTAGAAATTTCCCTTTTCTCACATAGGATATTCCAGCTCAGCAAAATGAAGAGGGATGGATCTGGGCTGTCTCCCTCCCTCCCAGTTACAGACCTTTTCTGCAGAATCAGCCATGTCTGTGAATCCAAAGGGTGAGGAATCAACAGATCCATTTTGGGAGCAGTTATCAATTTGTTCCTCTGGAAACAGCCTAATTCACTGCTCACCACACTCCCCCAGAGAGGAAATTATGGAGGTCAAGGCTGATATTTAAGAGGGTTGATTATTGGCTGAAAGGAGATGGAAGAAACTAAGTTCTGCAGAGTTTGAACATGAGTTGTTTTCTCCATACTCTGCCTAAGATTACTTGAGTCCATCAGCAATCCCTCTACAGTATTTTAATCATCCTTCTAGTGGCCCATCCACACCATTTACCAAATGCCTCCATTTTTTTTTTTTTTTTTTTTTTACCCTCTCAATATGCAAAGTTTTAAATATTTCTGTCTTTTTCAGTAGAAAGTCTGTTCTTATTCTGGGCCCATATCTCAAGGTTGATGTCTCCTAAGAAAACTTACTTTCCTTTTCTACCTTCTAGAAACACCAGACTACACACATTACATTAAATGTCTGGTTGAATTCTTCTAGTTGTAGCCTGCTCTTTCTAGTACACAGGTATCACACAGTGTATAAATAAGACCAGCAGGCAAGATTCAAGGACTCTGTAATGTTAAATGAGAATCTTGGGTTTGATTTTTGGAAAATTCAGTCTTTGCTGTTTAAATAATTTTGAAAAATCCTGTAATTTTCAGATTGTTATAAGCACAATGCAAGAAAAAAAAATCCTTGAGTTACAAGATAAGAGAAGATCACGTTATCTTGCTAACAACTCTCTTGCCTAACTAGCAGCAATACCTATCTAGGTGGCTTGTCATAGTGATATGTCATGAAATTTGTCAGCATTTGATCTTGTTTAAAAATTCCTCATTAATATATTAAAGCTCTACATGATTTTGATCTTTAGCCATCGGCTGTTGGAACTGATGAACTCTATTATTTACTGGCCTTATCTCCCAACATGAGTCCAGAAGAAAGCTCTGGCTTTTGTCTTTCTCTGCATTTATTAAGGCTGGTGGACCTGGGCCATTTACACTGGAATTGATTGCTACTTGAAGACAGTAACATTAATGTGTGTGTTGAAATAAAATTACCTCCTATTATGTTTCATTAACATGAGAAACACACTTTTCAGATTTTATATCAAGGCAGGAAAGGCACTTATATGGAATGGTATTTGCAGTTATTCAAGCCTAGATTCAGTCTCAGAACTGTGAATACCATGACTGACTAATTACTCTTCTACTGGACTACAGATACCATTTTTTCTAAGATGTACACAGAGAACCACTCTAGGGAAGAAATCTATTAATGTCCCAACCTCTGACAGCATGCAAAGTGAAAAGCCATTTATTGTATCTGAGCATTATTTACTACAAACTTTTTAACTTAATTCACTTCATTACATCACTACAGGCTTATGTGCAAGTATTATTGAAGTGAGCACAAGTTGAGCCACTAGAATAATAGTCTTTTAATTTTTGGAAGCATAAACATATTTGTGAATGGCTTGTAAGTTAAATTCTTTAGAATACTTTCTGTTACCCTTCTTCTGTTGCCTCTGGATAATGCCTTGTCAACATTTAGAGGTATTTAACCTGGGTAGGGCTTTCTCTTAAAATAATTCACTGAAAATCTTGATGAAGCTGTTTTTCTTAGTTCTTGTTTGAGACTTTATACCCATCTTCCTATATTCCACTCAATACCAATTTATCCTTTCAGTCACAGAGTTATGTTTAGTTGTATACCTACCTATATAGCATTTGATATATCAAGTAACACAGATAGCTGCAACATAAAGTAAATCTGATAATTTTGATTTCCATACATAGCTGGTGATTTTTTATTTGAATACCGTGTATTGAAAACAATACCCGTTGCTTAGAAAATTAACTGACAGAATAACCTTGGGAATAGGTACAGAAAGTAGGGAAAAGAGCTCAATGCAAAAGTGACTGATTTGATTGGAGAGCTTTTATATATGGCTCTAAATGCATGTCCTTATTGGACAAAGCTTTTCTTTATCTCAAGATTTTTCTTTACATACAAAATACAGTTAGCTTTTCTGTATGAACCCAATGATATTTTCTTACCCTATTCAAGATAGTAACTAGTTCAGAAGTGATAAAAACTTACTGAAGGGGTGAGTTTGAGTTCAAATCTTTCTCTGTCTCCTTGTTCAAAGAACTCACTGGTTACCAGCTCAGCTGCCTAAAACATAAATCATTATAAAAATTAGAGTTCTTGCTACACAATTTTTAGGGTAATGAGTTCTTGCTCAGACCATAATTTCAGCCTGTGCTTAACTGTGAAGAAGTGATTAGCCCCACTTACTACATGACTGATGTCAGGCACTTTTTTGTGTAGTTTTCAGGGACTGGGCATACAGGGGGTATAAACAGCCATAACCAGTGATAGGCACACTTACCCCATTTTGATTGGGAATTGGCTGGGGGATTTACATTGATTGCAATGTTGAGGTTATATGCAATTTACTCAATGCAGCTATATGCAATTTACTCAAGTATTGAGAATAGAATAGAAAATTATAGCTTCTCGGCATCCAAAATTATGTCTGTAAAAATGCCTTGTAAAATGTGCAAGAGCTCTCTGAGTATTTACAGGCTGTTGCCATATATAAACAACTTCACTTAGCAAAGAAACTTAATTAACCAATAACCTCTGTTGTCTTAATGGAATGTGAAATCATTAAAAATTCTCTCCATTAGGCTTTACTTTTTTCACATGACTGTCAGCGCTATAGGATCTGAAGATCTAAATATGAATTCAGATTGTGATTATCATATTGAATCAAAATCAAGAACTCTGGTGGGTTGGAAACTGGAACGCATCTTTCTGACTTTTGTGAATGAAGATCTATTCACAGCAGAAGTTCATGCTTCTCAGAAGAACACAAGATTTAAAAACAAAATTAGTTATGAAAACAACAGGAATTTTAGGAAGTCAAACAGAGAGCAATCCTGATATAGCAGCCTTCATATACTGTACTCTTCTCATGTGTGGGGTGTCGCAGGTAGGCATGTGTGACAGATGCAAAAAAAAAAGAAGCTAATCTACTGAAGATGGCATTCAGTTCCTAAAGGTCCTGTTATGCCTGCTTATTGTTTTCAAGTGTTTTCAAGCTAGGAAATGATTTCATAATGCTAAGACACAAGAGTAGTGGGCTAAGCAGAGACCTGCACTTCATAAAATCTAAAAATTTCTTGCTCTAGCAACTGCATAGTAGTTAGCACTCACAAATCCTAAACTTGTTACAGTTGAAATAAGGAGTACCAAAATAAATTGGAAGTAGGTGAATTGATGTTATAAAGTACTCTTAAATCTTGAGCTAGGTTATCACACAGTTTGGAACTTTATAATGTATGTAATCCCAGTGCACTAATAAAATTCTGGATCAATACTTCAGATAGAGGAATAATTTAACAACCTAGCAGCAATTAAGGGTTTGCCAAGTATATTGTATAAAAATAATCAAGACAGTCTCACCCCTGTCTCTCACTGCTATTCTGATCCTGTTCTCCTTGTGTCCATTTCCCTCTTATCTGTTTCTATCTACTCTTCCTGAAATTTGCCTTCTTACATCTAGTCTTTATTCCCTTTGATTCACGTATTTTAATCTATTTCTCCCTCACTTTTCAAGTTTTTTTTCCTGTCCTGTTTTTCTTCTGTGGACTTACTAGCCTCTCTACTCAACCAGGTAGTGTTTCAATCAATCCCAGACTGGATTTTTCAATATAAAGTAAACCTGTACACTAGGTTGCAAGGGAATTTTCACCCACAGACCTCAAAAGTGGTAAGGATAAAAAAACAGTTTCCCAGAGACTTCAGCACTAATTCATGCATTAGCATGAAGATTGACAACATGGAAAACAGACCCTACCTGACATTTTGGCTGTCAAAGAAAATGAAGAAGCTAACTGGGTTAAAGAGAAAAAATAAGAAGGGATTGCACACACTGCAGCAGTGGCTAGGTGGCACTGAAAAATCCTGCACATCATTTTCCCACTGCAGGATATGAGGAAGTTCCCCGATTTCCATGCGAGGTGACCATATTCTGGCCTTAGAAGGACTATCGTCACAGTCTGCTTATAAAAACAAAAAAGACTCATCTGACAAAAGTGCAAGCTGAGCTGAAGCCCTTGCCACACAAATGCCTTTTTTACTGATTTAATATGCATATAATTTTTATAGGTCCCTTTCAGCTCCTGTTACTTCCTTGTCCTTATCCAAGATATCTGGTTGCTCCTGCATCACAAGTTCTCTGGTCTAGCTTCTTTTTTTCACCCTATCTTTTTATCTATCACTTTGCTGTTAAGCCAATCAAACTCCCTCCAGGTGCTTAGCCATACTCAGCTGTGCTGATGCATTTCCTATTTGCTTTTTGATGCTGTATATTCCTCCAAACCTACACACAGCCTGCCTTCTACTAGCTTGTTCTGGACCTCAGTAAAGGAGAGAGAATTATTAGCATGGATACAGGAAATATTAAGGATGGATGCTAAGTAAGGAAAGATGCCTAGAAGAGGGAAAATAATGTGGTAAAGGACAAGACTTTTGGGACAGGTTGCTTTCTCACATTGTAATTGTTTGCCAGTGCCGGACCCAAGTTTTATATGTATTTCTAAAGAGCCTACTCAGCAACAGAAGTCTGAATTTTTGTTTCTAAGTATAGGATGTCAAAAAAGGCTCTATACTACAATTGCAGGTTTTCCCATCACTGTTGAGAAAATGAACACATTTCTCTTATAATATATACTGAAGATTTTATGTTAATCATTGTTTGCAGATCATCTACTGGCATTTTTGATTTAGGGAAGAATCTGCCACTGCCAGGGAAATCTTTGAGACAAAACGAGTAAGCACAGCTACATGTGGCTAACACTTTTTTTGTTTAATCCATCCATTTTTGGTTAATAAGAGGAGAGGTTGTAAAGCCAGATCTCTTCAGGTAGCTACATGTTGCTCACCAGCATGTGTACATGGAAAGATTATGCAATAAACTATTTCTTGCAGAAACCCCCTGCTATTTTTTTTACAGCATTAATACCGCTGTAAATTGATTCCAGTTTTGGTCCCTTGTAAGCCAGGGCCCTGGGAATATTGTCCCGCCAGTCCCGCCTCCTCCCAGCCCTGCTATTAATCATGACTTGCCTGTCTTGAAATCTCCCACGGTTTGGTCACAGCTCCAAGGTCACAGGCTGTCATTAGCATTGATCTGAAAACCAGAAATGAACAATACAAGCTGAATCAACCTTTGTTGGATTTCTAAACAACTCTGCTCTGGATGCATAAATAAATAATACATATATAAAATGTCAGCGCTGGCACCTTCTTTTCCTCCAGAAAAGAATGACATGTTTGAAAACTCAGCCATCAGCATGGCTTTTACATCACAATTGTGCCTAGGAAGCCTAATGTGTTGCAGGTCATCAGATGATGAATTTTGGTATTGTGCACAGCACACTAGAAAAGAAATGATATTGCAGAGGAATAACTGCTAATTTTGCAATACTTCTAACACTACTTATGTTAATACCTGTAATATACTAGAAAGCATGTGCTTCACGTGATATAAATAAGGATATTATTACATAATAACACCTCCAAACTGGATAAATTTATATGCCTATTTGTAAGTGACTGCTGTAGCAAGAGAACCTATAATCACAGGAGGCATCCCAGACACCGTTTAAGCAGTTTCTACTGCTCATCTACAATAAAAATTTAAGATTTACTATGAGCTATACTGTTCCACTGTAGTTTAATACCTAGCTACAACCATGTTTTATATGCATTAGGAGAAAGAAACCATTCAGCTGTAGAAAGCGTTTATGTACAGTACCATGATGCAGATAAAAGTCTAAGAAAGTTTAAATGAAGAACAAGGGCACTGAAAATGAAGCATCAAATATATTGCCTGAATCTAAAATTAGAAATGGGTGAAATGATATGGAAAATAGAAAATGGCCAATATTTTGGTCAAAAGACCAAAGGAAACAGAATTTTAATGAAATTTCAGATAAAATGAGACATAATCAGGCACGCATATGCAAATGCACACATTTTATTGTCTCAAAAGCGTGGTGTACTCAAACCACCCACAATGTCTGAGGTTTTCAATAGGATGCATGCTCAGATCATTCCTGAGGGCTAGAAGAGTACTATGTATCTGCAAATTCCCAGGTACAGACTAGGAGAGGAGAGAGAAGCATGGCCAGTAACAGAAAACAGCTGAGAGGAGAAAGTAACAGGGAAATGGGCAGGCAGGACCTTTGTGTCCTGAGACAGAACATTGATACTTTCTGGAGAAAGAGTGGAAGGGCTGAGCAGTAACTAGTGGGGCTGGGAGAAAGGGGAGAAAACGTGACAGACTGCGAAGGCAGAAATAGGAATGGAGAAGGTGATGTCACACTGATTACATCCCTGCTGTTTGGTAATGTTTAGAAATCTTACCATATATTTCATATAATGGATCATATTTTTAAAACAAGCTACTTTCTCTTGTTACTTTAAGTCTTCTCTCCATGATATATGAAGTTCCTTAAAGAAATAGGACTACATTTGAAATAACCAGAAAGCAAGAAATAGTAGTGCTCACCGAAATATTTCTCGGTGGTTTTTTATACTCCAATCATAACCACCTTTTCTGACAAGTTCAAAAAACTCGGTCCTTCTCCTGAAACAAAACAGATTATCAGAGAAGGAAATAAGACACTTCCAGGGCAGCACTGCAGTAGAAACACAGTTGTCTGGATGATACAAAATCATTGCACCTCATGTATTATTGTTAAAGTCGTTATGTTGACAGTCCATTTAAGCGAAACATACTAATTTCCAAACGTGTTCTATAAATGTCTGTTATCAATGTCAGAGTTGCCTAGTAAAAGCAATATTGTATTTATGGTCTCCGCAGATAAGGAAATAAATGGTACCAGAATGTTCAGTCTTCCATGGAAGCATGAAATGTTCAACTACAGCAGTGGACAGACAGACAATAGAAACACCCCTGAAATATGTACACACTTCTCTTTACTTGTCCTTGCAAAATGGTTTTTACTTCTGTATGCTGAAGGGTTTTTCAGGAGTGTGCAATTCAGAACAGAAGCAGATATCTCAAGTTAGTAGTTCTTATTGACTGTAAACTAGGTCTCCCTGCTTGATCCTATGCTTTGTCTTCTGGAATACCTTGCCTGTGTCCTCAAAGATGGACAAAACATGAACCAGAACATGTTTATGCTTGTTTGGTGCCTTTACTAAAATTCTGACTCACCACAGTCTATAATTTTTTAAGGCACTGAGATTCCAAGCAGCTCTAATTGCACGCAGAGTGACTACAATGTGAATAGATTCTGTCCTAGATATAGCAGAAGTTGAGGTACAAAAATATGGAGCAACTTGCCCCGAGTGACACAACATATTGGCAACAAAGCTGGAATGCAAATACCTATGGTCTGAGTGACAGTCTAGTACCCTATCTCACAGGACACTGTGCTATCTTTTTGGCAAGAGGAAATGTAGTTAGATACTCCAACAGGAGAGAGCTTGCAAAATCTTGTATTTTCTACATTCACTTCAGCTAGACTGAAATTTTGAACAGTGATTACTGAAAGCACAATTTGACGGCAGCCAGTACAGATTCTACAGACGAGGAGATGTTGATCAATGGACAGAATTTTACATGTAGCATGTTGCATTATTCTGGTCCCTGATTGTCATGTGTTATATGACCAGTAACTGCTACTATAGAGCCTTTTTGTAATGGATTTCATGGCAGCAACTAGAACAGGGAGATATAAGGACTATGTGATGATATCAAATCCCTTATGTTTTGTGCAATAAGATATAAAAGAGTTTCACTTTACAGAATTTGCTAGGACAATGCAAAGTCACACGTGTGGAAATCAAAATTCAGTTCTCTCACATAAACTCATAGCGTCATAGCCTCAGTGGAAACAAATACTGCAAAAATGAAAATTTTAATGGCCAAGAGTAGTTGGCACATAAACCTTAAACTAGCCTAATCCTGAGCAGATCATCAACAGCTACATAGCTTACTAAGAGAGAGAGCTGTGGATTGTTGCACCCTGTATTTCAGTGCCCAGTTTACCAATGTAAAATTTGGTAATGATTTCATTTTGAAGTATTGGATATTCTGGGAAAATTATGTGTTACTGGACCAAAACCAGGCAAGAATGTTTAAGGCTGAAGGCTCAGGAAGATGACATCCCAGAAACATCAAACATTCAAATTTAAAATATAGAAATCTGTAAACAGTAACTGAAAATGTGAGTCGCAAGACCTTATGTTAAGCTGAAAACTTTAAAATAAGATTTTTTTCTCCAAAATCCATTGAAATGGATGCAGAAGTACTAGTTCAATGCCACAGAGAATTTCTAGTGCAGGAAGGAGTCAACCTGAGGAAAGCAGCAATGCATAAGGAAACAGTTTAGTGTTTCCTACTGGTTGCTTATGGCTGGATTCCAAAACAAAGAGGTTTGCTATTATTAAGCAAATATAATATGTCAGGGTTTCAGAAAAAAAACATAATTATAACAATTTTGCAATGTCTATGAGTAACATTGGCTCTGGTTGTATTTTGCCTGGAAGGGAAAGTTGTCTTGATATATATAGCAAATCCAGTTGCTCTACAGCCCAGTGGCTCAAGACATTATTTGAGTGAATTTCCATAAACTTCATTTTGGTTCCATGCATTTGCTTGTTGCATGATCTATAAGCATCATTATCTAGAATTATCTACTGAGATCAAGTATATTTCCCATCTGATCTTCCACTGAAAATCATCCTTTTGTTTGTTTGTAGAAAAGTAGTGCCTTGAGAATGTTATAAAGACTCGCTCTGCCTGGAGTTTTGTTGCTGTTTTGCCAGCCGGACTTTGTGATCATTAGGTTTAGGCATTCTAAGAATACTGATCTGAGAATTTCCTTCTCTACAAAAATATCAAAGACATAGCAAACTGAAAAAAGAAGTTAGGAATTTGTGCAGAAACATCTGTTCACATAGCGTGGCTTTAAGAAGTGTAAATCGTCAGTGTTTCCAGGTAATGATTTTCAGGAACTTTTGGAAGTAAAGTAGCGTAACTACTAACTGATTAATGAATCATAATAACACAAGAGGAAAATATTACTTAGAAGTCTGCAAATAAGTTAAGAGGCCTCATTTGCTAAAAGTTTTCTGATTCATGTAGCACATAAAAGTCAATTATGCAAGCAAGGAAGAATAATCTTGAAATTCAGCTGATGTCCCTTTTTGGACGTTTTTTCTCTGTATTGAAATTAGAAAGACAACTTGACCATGTAGTTTTTCAACCTGAGGCAGGCAGGGAAGAGAACTCCATCACGTCTGGGTCTGGACTGGGTTCCCTCCCAAGGCACTGCCATGGGCCCTCTCTGGGTCTTCCAGGGGCAGCAGGCTCCCAGCCGGGGGGAGCACATGGGGCTGTGCTGGGGCAGCTGCCCTCTCCGCTCCTGCAGCTCACCCCCTTCCTTGACAGCACAAAACATTTCTGCAGCACTTGTTATTTGTGGTGAGACAAGAGAACCTGTATCGACACATCCCTGTGGTCCTTGTGTCTCACTCAAACCTGTCAGCAAGTTCCCCTGTCATACCAGCCTCCCAGGTAACAAGAAATCCTAACAGACAGCTTCAAAAAGAGTACGCCTAAAAGGGTTTATTTGTCCTGCTCAGGATTTTCACGTTGACAAGCAGACGTTTCCTTCATGGGCTAGTATTTAGAAGTTATTTATAATAAAACTGTTCACTAAAACCCTTTATTAATACCACTTCTCTGAGAATAGACTTGCAGGAAACAGTATCAGTGTGTCTACTGCCAGTACTGTAGTACAGCCCTTGGCACAGTAACCAAATATTGAGAAAAAAAAAAAAAAGACAGAACAAACAGTGCAGCATCCCAGTTAGTATTTTTACAACTAACAGTTAAAGATACAATGCTGATATAGATAGTTGAACAATTTCAGGGTAAAGACTTTTCCTGAAGTTTCCTGAAAACTTGGTTTGGTATCAACCATCAGCAGAAAGGAGGGGTGGAATCCAGATATACCACCCTAGGAAAAACTTTGCTAAATGCCATCTAGCACTATATGGGATAGGATAACAATGGACATCAAACAAAAATTCCTAAGGATGAGTTGTTGTCAAGACTGGAAAGGTAGTATGCTGAAACTGCACATCCAACAGCACTTCTCCCTGTAAATCAGCCACAGGCATGGGCTGGAGAGGGGGATGTCAAAAGTGCAGTGTGATGGTGGGACCACAACTCTGCACTCATGCTCCCACACATTCTCACTGGGAAGAGCTTGGTAATAATGAACAGTATTTGAAAAACAGTTGAAGTCTGCTTAGAGATTTGATTTGCAAGCAAGGAAAAGGAAGAAAACTGGATGAGAGAGATCCTATTATACTTCTCTCAAGCTTTTTAAGACCTATTTTCATCTGAGGCAAATTGGCATAATTTGTCTTCAAAGCAGCAATGTATATGCTTTCATTGCTTCTGCAACTGAGTCTGTAACTAAATATAATATTTCTTAGCATACATGTGTAGAAACTCTGAAATGGTGGAAAAGAATTCTAAAATGTCATTGATTTTCTATGTGCCTGAAGAAATGATCATGGAAGGGACAGAATTACAGGACTGAGCTGTAACTGATTCCTGGGATTGCTCTGAAGTACAAGCATAGGAATGCACTTGCTTTTTGTTGATACAGACATGTTACACATTAAAGCAAAAATTACTTGGACACGAGATATTTCTATTAGTCTAAGATGTACTAAGGATTAGACTAAATCTCTTCAACCACAGCTAAACACTAATTTCTCATATTATATATCCTTATTGGTATTTAATAGGTCATTAGAGTAAGTTCTTCGAATTTTCATTTGTCAAATACAAGAAATGCCAATACTTACTCAAAATACAGGGTGAGGTCTGTTGCCAATATCGATTGCTTTAGAAGCTGCATAAGGTCACTGTAGTCCTTAGAGGACAAGTTAGCAAAGATGTTGTGACCCTATAATGAAAGAGATAAAAGAGGTAAAGGGCTAGCAATCAATATAGGTTTTTAAAAGGTTTTCTGACTCTCTAGTCTACTGTTTCCCTGTAACAGAGGCCTTTTCTGATTCATGGCAAAACTATGACAAAATAATAATGTTAATACTGCTGAGATTACATTAGGGTGGAAGAGTTGACTATTATAATCAAGCACCTGGTATGTTTTTCTAAACTCTGCTGAAATTATAGCCTCTTGAGGAAAAATTTACTCTTTGCTCTGACCCTTCACAAACTCAATTTATGGGGAAAAACTATGTATACATCTCAATTTTTCCTCATTAAATGTTTTGGGGAGCTGTGCATTGCAGCTCTTGAGTTGTGCACCTAATAGATTTATCTGTGCTGCTGTTTGCAGGCACACAAACTGAGCAAAGACACTAAATATATTTTTCATTCAAAACAGCCCATTTGCTCACTCTGCCCATTACTGCCTTGTCTTACAGTGTATAAAGGGCATTGACTGTGTAGGCTAAAGAACTGCAACTTCATGCACTTTAAATGCCCTTTGTAGATCCAATAGGCTACTTTTTAAGGAATCATGGATTTAGAATTTGAAAGGTGCTCTATGGTCAGAATGAAAAGAAACATATTATTTAATATTGATATTTGAGAGCAGAAAGGTCCCTTTGTAAAATGGGCTTGCATTTCACGTAGTATTTTACATATCTGAAAGAAGCTGGAGTAGATTCCAAGGGAAAAAAATTTTTTTTTTCATATGTTTCTTGGTTTTTGAGCTGGAAAAGATAAAGAAAAGCATCTAGACTGATGATCTATAAACTGTCACAGAGTTGTCCATGTCTTGAGCCTGTCTTCAGAGGGACATTCAGTCATGATGAAGATTTCAGGAACTAGAGAAATCAATTTCCCAGGAAAGATAGTTCCAGAGGCTGAACAGTCTTATTGGTTTAGCAAAAAATGCCAAAACCCCCCAAAACCCCTTTCCCTTTTCCCTATTCTGAACCAGTCTGTTTAACTTTTAAATGCTGCTTTTTCTTATGCCTTTCCCTGGTAGTTTAAGGAGTCATTTAATTTCTAGTATCACCTTTTAGATAAACTAGGCTAGGCTAAGCAGATTGAGCTGTTTAAATCTCATGCTTGTGTTCTCCTTTCCTATGTCTACTTTTTTAATATAATGTAGAGAAACTGAACACTAAAGCCACAGTCCCATGACTAATCTCTGTGGCACTGTACACAGAGGTAAAGTCATCACCCTGTTCCCATTTGTCTGTGATCACAGGACATTCCCAGATGCTCTTCAAAAGTTACTGCAGATCATCAGATGGTCTCCAATTGTGCTGCATGAACAACATTTTTGATTTTATATATACCGAATGTGTTTTGTAACAATCTATCTGTGTAAATTAAGAAAATACATCCATTGTTTTGTAAGGATTGTATGTCCATTCTTCTACTTCTCTCACTTACTACATCTCTAGGGTGGTGCATGCTGCATACTGTTACACATAAGATATTCTAGGCAAAAACTATGTCTTTATATATATCTGCAAAGCAACTAGTGTACTTTGGACAGCATGATATCACTGATATTAATTTAAAAAAAATTCATTTAGTAAAATTATGCAAAACCACCATAAAAATACTGATTACAGAAAGACTGTCAAAGAAATTAAATTGGTTCAGTAAAGGATGACTGTGATACTCTGAATACAACACTCGTGGGGAAAGGTAAGAGCTTGTTTCGCCTACCTATAAACCATTGAGCACGATATATGTAAGACTGAGAAAAGCTGACAATATGATTAGGATATGTTCTCCTTGCCCCTAGCTGATTGAGACAAATATAATCTCTGGGCTCTACGATCAGCATTTGTAGTTGTTTAATTTTGTGCTAGTTGTGACCTTTGTGGTAACCAATAAATAATTCCTCAAGGAGAGGGCATTGAGAAGGTACTGTGTATGGTATTTCCTTTCTCCAGCTGAAACTCCCCAACAGTTTACAGTGAGATTAATAGTAATGCTTTTGTACCTCACTTTGGAGAATCATGACAGCATGATTGAAATGGTGGTGCTCCAAGGTAGCAGAGGTGCCGTAGAGCTGAGCTAAGGCTGATCCACTCCTGAAAGAGAACATGGGGAGTCAACAAGTACTGCTTGTCTGCTTACGAGGCAGGTTTCAGAAGCAATTTAGTAACAAAGGCACGTAGCCACACTTGCTCTCTCCATTTCAGCAACCACACTTAAGACAGTTGATGAGATCAAAATACTAAGGCATTTATGTTCCAGACTAAATATCATCAGCTAACTAAAGATTTTCCTGGAACTACACGAAATTTTGTAATGCAAAGTGCCCCAGTGATGCAACAGCACAGGTGCACCACTGTGTAGTAAAGACAAACAGTGACGTCCTTGAGCTGGGGCTGTTCTGCTACTACTTTCTGGTTTTAATTCTTAATAGATATAAACACAGTGGCTTACAATGGGTGATTACAAACTCTTTAAAAAAACCCAAAACACAACAACAAAAAACCAGCTGCAAATACAATGAAGTTCTGTCTGTATGTAAAATACCAAGGTAAACAAAAAACCACAAGTGAGAGCAGTGAATATAAAAGTAAAGTTTAGCATCTCTTCTAAATGTATTTTCTCATCATGTTTATTGTCTAAAAAGTAGCTTCAAAAAGCGCAGAGCAGGTGGGTGTTATAAGTTTAAAGAACAAAAAATCTACGGAATACAATTATAAAATTGTGAATTGTTGGGAGATGCAGAGAAAGGGGCTGAATTGTCAGAATACTTTTCATTATTATTTCACTTCTGGGACCCTGCCTAAAGCGACAAGATAGGTTTTCTTTCCAAAGAAATGAGAGTAAGAGATTATGCTAGAGACAAACAGAAAGAGTCTCCTAGGAGCATATACTATAAAACTGCACCATACTGATATTTAATTATCAGAATCAGCTATATTAGAGAGAAGGATGTCCGGGAAACATCATCCCCAGAGAACATGGTGTTGAGATATATAACAGAGCCATTTCAGACAACTGTGATATTGCCTCCATCATATACCTCTTGAACTTTCATCACACAGAACAGCAGTATTAAACACTGAAGATAAAATAGGAAAATGTGATGCTTAAATTTATGTCAGGTTAGAGGAATAAATCATAGCTGCTGTTATGAAAACTATAGCTTCTGTTTTCAGAGATGTTTTATACATGAGTGGTAATGTTTTGTTAAATGTCTTCAGCAATTTCTTTATGGAGTCGTAAAATGGTAGCCTCCTCTTTGTAGTCTGTTGTCAAACAACAAGTGATAGCAGTCTAATACTAAAGCCTCTACCTTTAACTCAGCCATACCTCTGCACAAGAGATACTGTTGTATAATGTTACAGTAGAGAAGTGGTTAACTTAATCAGAGCTTAAAATGGTCAGGATGTAAATCTTAGGTCTCATTTTTGTAAATTAGGAACATAAACATCAATCACCTGAGCTTCCTTCCCATTTGTCTCGTGTTTTTTGATTCTCTTCAAGACTCAGCTGCAAAAAGACATCTAGCAGTGCTTGGTAACCTTTGCACCATGAGCTCTGTCTTTGAGCACTGCAATTGATTTTCCTTGCTATGGTGATTGAAGATCCAGACAGTGTCATTGTTTCATTGAGACTGTACAGCAACACCAATAGCTCAGGAAATGGCAGCTAAGCGAATATCAGAAACATCAGTTTGAGTGATGTTCACTGAGGCAACTTGCCCCCCGAAATGCAGCAGCCCGTGCATACGCACACTGCAGCAGAGTATTTCTGCAAAAGGTAGGAAAAGATAGGCTAATGCAACATCACCCTTTCAAATATCTTTGGACAACCATTTGACCACTCCCCATCATGCTGGAGGATTAGCAGTAATACAGAACAGACAAAGGTGCAAATGCATGCCGGGATCTGCATGACAGCAGACCCTCAAGCTCTCATATTTGACTGTAGAGGACCTGGGGAGTTGAGAAAACAAAATGGGATTTGGAAGAGTCTTTAACAGCTTTATTTCACAGCTTGTCCCTGATGTTGTCAAGGGGCATTTCCTGATGTGTTCTCCTGCCTCTGTTCTCAGGGAACACATTTTGTAAAGAATTTGATCTTGGTCAAGGGAGTTCCCTTACCAGCACAGTAAAATGAAATATCCTCAAACCTTCCACAAACCTGCTTCTACCTCACTGTGTCTGAGGGCAGCAGCCTGGACATAAAAACATATGCAAGTCAGGGCTACTGAATCAGGTCCTAAGCACTTTTAATAGAATAAAATTAATGTTTGCAATTGAAAACAGTCTGGAGAGCAAGATTTCACATAGGTGATGTAAGAATCTTCCTTCAAGATCCAGCTTTGTGTTCTGGTGGGTACTGACAATTGCAGGGGGTGGCCAGCCCACCCCTGCCCACGGCAGCATGTCTGTGAACAGGCTATGTGTGCTCTGGCATGTGGGGCAGGCCAGGGAGGAGGCATTTTGACAGGCAGGGACCCTGTGTGCTCCACAACTGATGGATATGTGGTGAGGCAACTACTCCAGCCACCAGCTGTGGATGATACACATCAGAGCTCCAGCATGATGGCAATGGTTTCATACTTCATAAGCTAGGAATTACTTTATGTATGCTTCCCTATGTTGGCGTGAAAGTTTTTGTGAAAGCATTATTTCAGTTTTACCTATTTTCTTTTCTTAATAGTTGAACAAGGTTTTGCTTAACATCACGCATTCCAGCTGGCAAGAACCACCCAGATAGACAGTTTCGGTGTTTCCTGGGTTGAATAACAGAATCAATAATACCTGAGCCTGAAAAGAACATCAAGTTTTGGCACCACGTTTCAATATGCGGTGTCAGTTTAACAGCCTGATACAAAGGACAAGCCAGCAATTACCCAAAAGAATGGAGAATGATAAAGATGGATAGTCCCTCACTGCATACAAGAATAAGAATACTTGGCCTTGGCCTGGGAGGCCTGAAATTAATCCTTCATTCTTTATCCTGGTCACCTTTTGCTCTTCTGTGGAAGAAAAACAAATTAGAGTAATAAGAATTAGAAAACTTACTTGGCTTGGAAGGCATTGTTGGTTCCCCTGTGGTCAAGGTCATGACATAAGCATCCCACAATCAAAGCTAAAATTTCAATTTCAGTTAGAATCTCCTGAAATCCTGCAGTCTGAGAACAGAAAAAAAAAAAAAAAATAGCAGCTGTAACTATCAGTAGGAAAAGGGATAAGTAATGATAGTCCATTGAGCAACAGTCAATTTTGTTTTGATATCATGAATGTTTCAGTAAGGAGAAGATAAATGCTCTATTGTCATATTATATTCCCTGCTGTATGTTAGATGGTTAGCAGAATAGATAACATCCTTGGAGTAAGCTGTTATTATCTCTTTGTTGCATTTCCAGCATGTCATTTCTCCACTACCCAGAAGGCACTAAAGGCAAAAAGAGCTGAAAACACCAATAACTACACACTAAGACAGGAACTGGAATTTCATATCAGAGAAATACAAACCAAAATTGATTCCATTTTGAAATTATTGTTTAGAGAAGTATTTAGTCAGATTTATTCAATCCTGAGGTGACCATCTTAGTCAATCCCTACTGTCAGAGATAGCTGAGATGTTAAATCAAAAGACCCATAAAAGAAACCAGCTAAAATATACTCTATGGAACTGTTATGAACTATTAAGAGATTTGTTATCTGGGACACATGAAATGAAGCAGCATGATTTAAAGAGGAACTGTCTCAGATGGCATATTTCTGTTGCAGATACTCACTTGAATTTTGGAGAGAATTTTGAAAACTGATGTACTGAAATTCCCCACAAGCCGCTCAGACCAGATACACCTATGTGAATGGGGGAGCTGATCCTAGGAACATTTTTTTGCCACTATGCTTCTCCTCATGGATACTTGCCATAGCAGTTTTCCTGCCTGAACTGCCTCATGTCAGAAAAGAAACACTACTGTCATTTCTAACCAAGCGTCTTGAACAGATCCTGTCTGGAGGAGGTGCTGGATCTTGCATGGGACACCACCTCTTTGGAGCTGTGCATCTTACCTATGGCAGAAACAACCCGGTTCTTCAACTCTTCAGAAGCGTAAGGGCATATTGCCTGCAAAAATGACTGGCTGAGCTGGAAAATCTAACACTTTTCTTTCCACAGTGCCAGTCTCCAATGACACTCCTCAACTAGCCACACAATCTAGTTAGTATGAAATTAAAGTATATAAAAAGAATATGAAATACATTTATATTGGAGGACCAAACCAAGGCTGAGCACTAACAGTGTGTAAGAAATCCTGAATTCCACTGATTTTCAATGAGGCATAATTTCACCCGCTGGCAAGAAGAGTGAAACAAAGAGAGTGAATATCAGTGGGACTTGATGTCCTTACCTGGTAGGAACTTACAGCCCACTCAGAAATGCCAGTCAATTGCTGCAATATATGTGAAAATTCTGCTATTCACCCTGAAGACCAAAAATTCTACTTAAATAAATGCACATGCAAATCCAAATAGCCTCTGTTTTCATCGTCTGAAATGTGGCTGCAGTTAATATTTAGGCAGTACAGGGAGCCAAGCTCCCCCCTTGTGCTCAGGAATGCATTTTAGGGGGGAACTGAGGAACTGCAGGACTTGCTACTAAAGCTATATATAATTGTGCTTTGAGTTTACATTTCAGAAAAGATGATCAAATATGAGGAAGAAGGATTCCTTTCATGTAGAATCCACTGGTGTACAGAGTAACTTGAATATTATAAAAGATATTCTCCTGATTTCTAGTGGCATTGCTTTTTTTTTAGTTTTAGTAACAGCTACGCAGGCAGAGGAAATTTTCTAAAAAATAGTGTTTTCTATTTTTATTTTTTAAACGTTGCTCTAATATACCAAATAATAATCAAGGTCTGTTTTTAAAAAAGGGAGTAAAAAATAGGTTGTAACAGACAACATGTCACGTGTCAAGTTTCAATCCAGAGAAAACATTCATGCCTAAGTTAAAACAACTTAAAATACAAGTTTTATAATATAAACTTGATGCTGTAATAAATATTCTTTAGCATAACACAAGCTTTGATTAAACTCAAGGATTCAACCTGTATTGCAAATGCAGGAAAGCCAATTAAGGAATTTATTAACGGTAGCAATATCTCAAAAATAAATACAACATTTTATTTAATCAAAAGTCTAGTCATTGAATGTATGAGAAAATATAGCATATTTCACAGTGAAAAACATTTAATTTAAAACAATGTTACGGTAAGGGGATAGCTGCTTTGAACATAATGTAAGAAAACAGAGGATTACATTTCCCCATTTTTTGAATTTACACAGAGAGAAGAAATACATGGCTATAGATGATGGTGCAGTAAAATTTATTTTCACCAGAAAAGGAATGACCCATAACTCATGACTGGCACAGTCTCCAGTGAGTTATGGAGGTCATTCTTTCATGTGAGGAAATGAATTGCATTCATTATACCTTGCCCCACATTTATATGTTTTGTTATTAGCACGCCAGATGGGATTTTAATTTTGTATTGCTTACTTGTTCATTTTTACTGTTTCGAATAAGTATCAATGTGAACTGCATTAGGCAAAGGCATTGATGATGAAGGCTGGTCTTGATCCTGTGGTTTACTCTCATGTGATGTCCTTAACTCACAGGATCAGTCTTGCTTCAGTGCTTGTCTTCAGAATATTTGAGAGAGTCTGAAATATAGAAGTATGGCTTGCAGGACTGGGCTTATAAATGTTCAGTGTCTAACTAGAGACAGAAAATACATACTTAGATATATGGGAACATACCTTAAGATATGCAGAAGGCTGACCCAGGAGTGAAACAACTGACTTAAGCTTTGTTGGATTTCTGTTGTTTGTCTTGTTCAACCTGGTTGAATTTTCCTTCTGCATTCAGTGGGAGCACTGTTGGGCCATTAGAAGCTACTGCATTACAGATTAGGAATTACTATGTTACTGTAAATCCTACCTAAAAACAACCTAAAATAGACCTACTGGTTTATATTTGTGGTGCAGTCAATATTGCTGACTGTCCTGGAGAAATCAGGAATAGAGTGTAATAACTGCACAAAGCAGTGCCTTCTTAACCATCAAAGAATTTTCCTTTTTGCAAGTGAAAAAACAAGGCACATACTAACTCAGATGGTTCCCCCAAGACTAACAAAGTAAGAGCAAGCCTTGTGCTATTACTAGTCTTTTGACTCTCTCTTTTGTGTCTTTTTTCACAAGATCAGTCTTCCTATCTCAGGAAGGGAGAGCAGCCCAAGCTGATAATACACTTGAACTTTGTTCTCAGGCAGAGCCCCAGCAAAGCGGGGTGGGATGTGTGGTGAGTTCAGTGTCATGGGCACATGTGTCCAGCCCTGCACGTGGAATTGCTTGCTCAGTTTGTTACCAGGAGTGTGGGCAATGAAATGAGCTTGGCTTGAAAATCCCGGGTAACCTCCCACAGACAGTTGCATCTCTATGCTGACTGCTAAAAGGATCCTGAAATTATGTTTTGAGAACCACAGTCAAAGCAGTTTATGGCTGAGGCCTCGCAGGCTTCCTGGTGGCTGTTGCAGCAGCAGGGATCTGCTTTCTCCGTGCTGGATGCCAATTTAGTCACCAGGAGCTGAGATGGAGATGCCTGGTGGGAGAGTGCATTTCCCACCCAGAGCATCCTGACAAAACCCTGGCCTCGGAGCTCCACCTAGAGGTCCTCACGGGTGAGGTTGGAGGGCTCCCCACTCCCTGGCACTATTTGTCAGGAATTAATGTAATTCCCAGCTGAACAGCACCGCCTGATTCTGCCCTTACTCTTCAGAGAAACAAGCTTTTCATTTTTCTATAACTAAAAAAAAAAAGTATATCAAGTTTATAAAACTTTAAAAACAACCAATGCCCACACATTATCACAAGATTTCATTAGAGATCATTAAGAAGTGCCTGCTGAAACAGCCTTAATTCTGCTCAGCTAAACAGCCTCATGCCCAGAAGAAGAGGCGACCTTTCGCTGTTGTTAAATGTTTCCATTTCTTCTGTCTCACGGTGTACAGTACAACTGTGCTACCCTTCCGTAACTGCTCACAAAAAGAAACCCACATAGCTGGGAGGCACCTAGCAATAGATCTACCTACTAGGGGACACCGTACTCTTTTTTTTTTTTTCTCACCTGACACACAAAGTTCTGCCACAGAGACAATGCCAAATGGAGGAGGGCAGCTGGGAACCCCCACGCAAGACAGTGGTGCCCTGTGAACAGGACACAGGCCACGGACTGTGTCAAGTCCATGTAATTTAGCGCTGATGTGTGCTGCGGATGGCACAGGCTGCAGAGTCTCCGCTTCTATGGACAGGGTCCAAACGCTGACTGTGTCACAGAGGCCAGCCAGCAACAAGAACATAAACATTGGGTGATTAAGAATCAGGGAACAAGCGCGTGGTATCTCAGATAAATAAATACAAAGCACAAAGGCTGTTACTATGACCACTTTAAGGTTCACAATAGATGACTCTGGCAGTTAAAACTGAACATGAAGAAAAAATGGAAAAACTTGATTTCTTATTCTTATCTGGAGATAAGGCAGACCTAAAATCTAAAGTACAGTGGAAAGTGGTGTGTGCACACAGGCATTTTGCTTCTCTTTTGCCATATTAACCAGAATATTAAACATCCCAGGATCACCAAGCTTTTTATCGATATGTTTACAAGAATTAACTAGCCAAACATGGATTATTTAATGCAGTGAAGTTGCTGTGGGGTAGGGAGAGAGAGTAAGTGGTACTTTCAACAGAATTTACCTGTACGTTGAAAGGAGTTACAGGTACTGATGGAGATACATGTTAATAAAACCCAGAAGAGTTACAGTGTCCAGCAGAGACACAAGCTTCACTTAAATCACTAAGTTGGAAGATAATCTTAAAACGTTTTAAGGCAGTATCTTCTACAACTATTTAGATCAAGCTGGATAAGAAGGTAATAAATATCAACATAATAAATACTTCTGAGATTCTAATCTTTGTTTTTGTACTTCTCAATTTGAGAGTCTGAAATAAATGTCAAATCAAAGAGTTCCAAAAGAAAAACATTTTTATAAGATCAAGATCTATAATAACAAGCTCACTCCAAGACTGCCATCTGTTTTCAGTCACTTTAATGTGCCTGTAATATCACTGTCACTAAAACACTATACGGTTTTGCCAAATATGTGCTGCCTTAAGTTGAGTAACTTCCGTGTGTATTTCTGTTGGAAATGAATGAGTATCATAATAACTAGAAAAGAAATCAAAAGTTGGAAAATGTTTAGACAGGTAAGGCAATCTGGCTGTAAAGGCTCTTATGGGATTGTCTGTAACTGGATACTTACAGTTAACATGGCAAACATTAGCTGGCAGACGTTGAAAGCATGCCTCCAGTTGTGATACAAAACCATTCGATAATTCTTCCTAACTGTCAAAAGCCACCTACACAGTGTCTGAAATGAAAAGTACAAATTGTATTAGGGCTACTAAATGTGTACAAATGGACAGCGCAGTGCCAAATCAAAAGCAGCAGATATCTCTGCAGCGCAGATGGTTACCTCATAGTCAATTTTAAATTTCTGAACCATTCCAAGTTCCATGAACATCCGCAGGGCTGCAGTAATCATGGCATCCACATCAAGCGAGAAGTCATCAAAATGGATATCATCAATGCCAAGCTCTGACACCAGAGGGATGTTTGCTGCCTGAAAATGCCAAAAGGAAAGGGAAACTTCTGATTCAAAACTTAGGTCTTTTTTTCTGTGTCACCCTTACAAGAAATCATCCATACATCAGTTCTGACCTGACAATACATCCTCCCCTTGATTTGAATGCTGAGCAATAGAAGTCTTCATCTGAGAAATACAAACATCTCAAGCTAACGGAGTGGGGAAAACAGTAGGAAGGAGAAGAAATTGCTATGAGCAGGAAACATGGTCACCATACCAAGTGAAGTCCGTACATAACATTTAGACTGTGAGAGCTGACTACTTTACAGCTACTGCAGTAACACAATATATTCCAATGCAAATTACAATGCTGTAATGCATGAAACATCTGGACAGCCAGCAGCTGGGAATTTTAATTGCTACCATTCAGAAATGCGAAGTAAATATACTGCTCTGCAGAATTTCTTCATCCAAATGTCTTTACATTCAGAAGCATACAAGTGCCCTTTGCTTTATGCTGTTCACTACACATTCATAGAACCAGGAAGAGAGTAATACAAGAAATTTCTAGCAGAAGTACTTTTCAAAGTAAAATAAAAAAAATTGTCAACATGCTGATTATGTAGCAAGACAATAAACAGCAAAAGCTTTACATTTTGCTTTGTCCATGTAACAGCAGGCTTTTGTTCTGTTTGTAAGAAAGGAATGAGCTTTTAATGCACACAAAAACACATGAATGAGTGTGCAGGACTGGCTAACGTGTACAGTTGCGCATAGGGATGCATTGTGGCTGGCCCAGTGGCAGCACCTGCGGGAGCCAGGCGGAGGTGCTGACAACCCTCACGGGCTTGTTTGCCCTTCCTTACGCCCCGTTGGACTTGCCACTCATGTCCCTAGAGAGGGCAGGTGGAGGAGGCTGCATTTGCTGAAGGAGCATCTGTTCCCTGTCTCCTGCAGGGAGAAGGTGATGGGTCAGAGAGAAACCCCACAGAGGGGCTGGATCCAGCCCACAGGCCATGAGCTGGGCCGTGCTGAATTAGTTAAAATCACATGGACTCAGCTGTTGTGGAACATCCAGATACTCACTTGCAGAAAATATCAATTTGTTCATGCAACTGTAAGTTCACCTTCACAGTTAGAGCATCTATGTAACCATTTTATGGTTTCCTTTTGAAAACTTGTGTTTTGAAATACTACATCCTAACTAAACCATATTACTGACATGTAAAAAGCTTTTTCTGGCCAAAGGGAAAGTGCCACTTTAATAATTACTTTATGCAGAGATTTAGCTACTTTACCTATACCATGTAAGAGAAGATCGTATAAAACCTGCCATAAAATAGTATTAACATTGCAGTGTTAGTTTATTCGCTAGCTAGAAGAAAAGTCTTTTCAGTTCAGCACCCAATAAAGCATGCCAATACCACAAAAAGTCATGGCGTTACACCAGTGATGTTAACTGACATAGGAAATACAACAAACCCATCAAGTCAAGTGTCATCCGAGGACACAGCTGGAGAATCTCTGGAGCATGCAGGCAGAGATGTAAGCTCTGTTAACTACATACTTGCTTTGTCTGCTAGCATACTTACCCAAGCTGAATCAATTCAGCATATTTTTTTGAATAATTATTGAAAAATCTGAATGATTGTTAGGTGATCCCAACAGGTGTTACACCTTAACACCCTTTAAGATCTGGCTGAAAACTATGTATTTACTTCTGAGGTAGAAAGAAGGAAAATAGTTAGTTGTGAAACAGGAACACTGGCCCAGAGACTGTGCTGTCCAGACCTTCAGCAGTCTTACGAAAATTGTGACTTTTTTAATCATTCAGTTATTCTTCAAACTTTGGGGGATACTCAAGATGCATCCTAATATTTAGTCTATGAATACACTCATTGCATAGTAAATGCACTCTCTATAAAATGTCTTTGAGGGAAGAAACACATTTGTCCGTCTTACTTGTTTGTTCCTTAGAGAGAAGTTTGAATAGCAAAGATGCTGAAAGAGAAGCACTTAATTGTAAGTAGACCTACTTGAAATTGTTTTATCAAAACTATCTTTACAAACCCAGTGCTGCATTTTCATTAACTTTGAAGTGGTCTCTGATTAAAATTTTCATGTTTTTTGTCCTCTTAAAGGAAAACAGATCTCTTCCTTGCTACTTTTTACTGGAAACAAACACTTCTGCCATCCTGTTACAATTCAAGGGAGAACACTTGAAGCAATTGCTCAACTACAATTGTTTTTCCCTTTGTCAAACAGTGGAGAAATAACAATATATTCCAAATCTACTACAAACTAAATAACAGGATATTAACAAAGCAAGTCAAAAACAATTTCTTCCCATGTCAGTCTGAAACTTTTAAATATTTATGAGGTTTTACATTCCTAAATTTAACAGGAGTGCCATAATCCAAAATAACTGCTGAATTAATAGCCAGGAGATAACATTTGTGTAAAAGAACCATTTGCTTTACAACAGCAATAAAGGAAACAACAGAATTATGAGTGTTGAGACTAATTTGAATAATGTTAAAAAAATGATATGTTGTGGGGCTGCAGCAATATTCTGACTGCACCTGGCATTGTCTGTCCTCAGCTTCTTATGCTGGAAATTCAGCAGTCCAGGGTTTATAGGAAAACAGTCATTAAAACTTCATTTTTTTAATTACAAAGATATAAAAAATATTCATAATACAGAATATTAAAACATATCCATCCCTGAAATTTTGCTGCACTGCAGGACAAGTTCCAGTGGATTTCTTAAAATAAACAGCAATAACAACACTCTCTTCCAGGAAAACAGAGGGATGAAAGTACCATGACAATAAGAGGAAGGGGCAGGCAATTAAAATTCAAGTTACAGTGAAATTATTTTTTAAAGCACCCCAGTGATTTAGAATCACTTAAAAGTCTTGCTTCCTTTTGAACATTTTGAAGTTCAATTTCCCCTTTCTAAAAACAATTAAGAGCTTTATACTCTGAAGTTTTTTTAAGCTGTGGACCAAACAATTTCAATGCTCTTCATCCTTGAGAAAAATTCACCGACTCTTCTGTGATCTTATGATAAATTAAAGTTGGACATGTCCCCTCTGGTCACATCTCCATAGCCCCTGGTACTAAAGCAAAAATTTGTCTTAAAAGGAACCATGAACGCAAGTTGGGCTTAACACATGGAAAGCAACTGGTCTTGCCTGATAAAGTACAAACTCAACAGTAACCAGACTGTGAAACTATCACCACTTGTAAGCAGTTGAAAAAGAGGATGTCATGCCCCTGAATGAGAGCAGAAAGACAAGGTCTGTGGCTACCCCATACTCAGATGTTCATGGGATGGGATGGGATGGATACAGGAAGGAGGAAAAGCACCTTTGTACTCAATTCAGGATTGGAGACAGATTCTTCTTTCCTCATTGCACTTTGCTATCATGTAAATTACTTCACAGCCTGCTTGGTACATGTGAACAGTTAGGAGATGAGTGACTTATTGAGCCTTACCTTACATCGGCCATCGCCAAAGGGCCATATGTCATTAATGACCATCATACATCCAAATACATGGAACATCAAGTGGCTTCTACCAACAGTGAAGTCCCAATTCTGGCCACTATAAAAGGCAGCCCATGGGAATAGAAAAATAATGTTTCTGGTTCAGTATTAATAAGCCTTCAGGCTGCTGTGGATGAACAAAACCCAAAAAGGAAAACTTTAGGAAATCAGAGAGTCAAAGTTTTAGGGAAACCTTGAAAAGCGAAATACTTGAAATAAAAGCTACTATTTGATGCTTACACCTTAGTGCTGCTGAAGACAACTATTTCAATTTTAGAAGTACGTATAAAACATATGCTGTATAAAATGGTTTCTTTATATTGTTAACATGCAACTAGGTAACAACAAAGATAAGCATTCATACTTGTTTTTTCTTCTGTGCAGTATGTGTTCATGTGTAAATGTATGTCAGAAAGATGTTGTATAATATGCACATACATATACACAGAGCATTTTATAACATTCTCCCTGTAAGGGCTGAACGAAGCCATCACAATCAATGAACATAAGCAAAAGGGGAGACTTCTGCTGCTCTTACTGGACATATTTCCTGAAGGAGAGAGAGGTTTTATATTCAGTGTGGTTAATGTTACTGCAAATTGTTTTCCTTTTAATCCTACTTTCCGTTTCTGTCATATACCACACTAGTACCTTCATAATGGCCAATACTGCTATTGAGAAAACATATGCAAAGCATACTGATAATTGCCCTCTTACAAATTAACTTTAAATCAGTTTATAGTTATAAATAGTACAGGAATGATCCCCTAGAGATGGGTGAAAGGAAAGGGGGAGAGCTTCCTGTCCTGAATAACTTGTAGGTGTGATAGCTAGTATAAGCTCGCAAGTGTCTTGCTATTTTAGGATCTGGTGACACATTACCAGTCCTTCCAAACAGGGAAGAAACTTTATGGATTTCTCTAACAATCAGCACAGTTTTACAAACCAAACTTCCTGTGTGAGTTGGCAGTCTAGTTTTCAGCATGTGAAAGCTATACTAAGTTAAATCTTCTTGTACCACCTAGTCAGATGTACTGCCAGTGGAGAGCAGCAGACAGGTAACATGCTGCCAGCATGAAAAATGGTCAGAGGGTGATAACCCCTTATGTAGGGAAAATGCCTTTATGTAGGGAAAAACTGTATCTTGTCAGGAACAAATATGAAATAGCAATTTGGATATTTAATAATCTATAGCAGAATTTGGTTAGGGACAGTCTGAGTCAGTGGTGGAGAAAGGGCAATTTCAAGGTGGTGATTACATTTTGTCCCATCTTGACATAATCCTCTTATTCCATCCTTATTTTCTTCAAATTAGCACACACAGATAGGCAGCTTAAGGAGTTTCTTAAACAGAGGACACCTACTGCTCAAAGGCCTGATTGTAATAACTTAATTCACCATTACATGTCATATGAAAACACAGTTTTTGATCCCATTTGATACTAAGAAGACAGGAAAAAGACATTATTCCACAGATTGACAGG